TGAACTTTGTTTGCTCATTATGTACTTACAGTTCCTGTAAGACAAGCAAAATCCTGGCATTGCTAAGAGGTGGAAGGTGAAGTGTTTCTGGCATTGAGCTTGAAAGAAGACTCACCTGTGCTCTCTTCGGCAGCACACATACTAAAACTGGAAGGATATAGAGAAGATTAGCAAGGCCCCTGTGGGAGGATGACATGCAAATTTGTGAAATGTTCCATATTTAGAAATAAAGACGACTCACCACTCCATTTACTAGGTATCACTTATAGTACTGTTTATTATATATAGAGAAAAATTAGCGGTGACACCAAAGTGTTAACTGTGGCTGACTTATGATTAGAAATGAGATTGAAGTAGGAGGCAATGTCCAACTTCCCAATTATACACTTGTATAACCTTTGCAATTTTTATGAGTGGGTAATTTTGATGAGATTTAAAAAAGTTTTCAACAGTGATCCAATTAACTGTCTGCTTATGTGAGGGTTAGCCATTTTGCAATCTTCATTTATTCATTAAATAGAAATTTACCAAATGTCTACTCGATGCTAGATCCTAGCTACTGGAGATATATAGGAATTAGTAGTCTAGTGGTCAGACAGACATGTGTATAAACAATTAAAGAATGAGGTGGTTACTCTGCAGTTGAAGAGATTTAGATTAGACCAGGAATACTGCCCCAACTCTTCTCTTAGCTATGGGTTTGGTGACTCTACACATCTGGGGGAGGGAGTAAGGGGGCTGGGGGCAGTTGAAACATTTCTGAATGATGTAGAGTTCTACAATTCTCTTATTTGATGAGTATTACCAGAAGCATGTTCGTACATGGAAGATGTAGGGCTGATTTTACATGTTAATATGGCTTGTAAGACATACATTTCATTCCAATCCTGATTTCTCATGGTCAAGTAGTTGCTGTCAGTTGTCGGAGGACTAAATCTTAAGGTTGTCATTTGAATGCTTTTCTCCGTTGCATGGTTACTGGCTATATCCTCCTCAACACCAGTCACTGTCTTCCCATTTTGCAAAAGATATAATGAGTAAGAGGGGCTGACTTGGTGCAGATTCTTTGTTTATTTTCAAGACTCTTTTGAAATGAAAACGCCAAGTAGTCCCACTAATGACCACAGTTGAAAATACTCACTCTACATCCAGGAGGCAGTCACATTGTTTTTGTGACCTAAAGGCAAACAATTGTTACAAGCTTGTGCTGTCTTTAGACCCAGAAAAAGAATTGGTAAATGTATACTTTCCTTCCTGCTTGAGCTTAAAACAATTAAAAAATAAATAAATAAGTAATGGTTGTAGAAAGTAGCTATTCTCAGGACCAGGTGGTTCATTACTCCATATGGCGTTCCTGTACCAGACATCTCTTCCTTAAGTCCTGTGCTCCTGCCTGTTTAAATGTGAATGATTGCCTCCCCTTCTCCACTCCAGGACATTCAGGGGAGTTGAATCCTTCCTGGCACACTGTGTCCTTTAGTACCTTCTTTAAAAGCATGCCCGATTCTGTAATTGTTCTGTAATTGGAAGACAGCTTCACTGGGCAAGTGCACATCTTAAGCCCTTCACAGTAGCTTATCAGCTTAAATAAACTACAGAAATATAAAAACAATTAGTTGGGGTAATTGCAAAATGAATGCATGTTAGTAATCATTGTAGTTGCAAAGAATTTGCCACTCAGGTCTAACTGCTTGGATGTTCTGATTTTATCAATGGGGGTTGGGAGGAGTCAAAGAAAATTCTCCATAGTACATGATTCCAATTTATTTTTGGCTGAGGTCCTAAGGCTTCCATAGAGTCAGAAAATTTGTTTAGAACCATAATTTCTGCATCGGGGAAAGAAATACCATTTCTACCCCCTTCTCCTTTGGCAAACAATAGAAAACAACAAGGAGAATAATCAGCAGTAGAGCAAACTTCCATCTTTATTGAAATTAGGAGACATTCATATCCGGACTTATAATACTGTGTTTGAAAAGGGCTTTCAGAGTAGTGAAAACTGTATTAGTATAAACACAGACTAAGAGAAAAGGCTGGGGACTTCAAATTTCGTGGGCCAATAAGACAGAGTGCAGAGTTTTTCAAAATATTTGTTGCCCCACAAACTTTGAATAATTATAAAGCAGTGTCTATTAAAACACATTTTGTTTTCAAAATTGAGCTGTCAGGTGTTAAAGTGTATATAAATATTTTGGGGACACGCTATAGATATCACAGCTTTGGCTTAAAACCAGGTCCAGGTACCTAGGCTGACAGCAACATGTTGTCAGCACTGAGTGACCTCAGAGAACAACTGAGCAAGCACATAGGAAACAAATGGACATACCATCTTAGAACACTGAGGAGCAGGGTGAAAGATAAACTGGGTGTGTGTGCAAACATTCCTTCAGCTTCTATGTTTGCTAAAGAAGAGTGAAGACGCCCTGGTGCTTTAGTTCAGTGGATAGAGTTTTGGTCTGCAGATTGAAGTGTCTTGGGTTTGATTCTAGTCAAGGGCACATGCCCAGGTGGCGGACTCGATTCTTAGTAGGAGGCATGCAGGAGGCAGCCAACCAATGATTCTTTCTCATCATTGATGTTTCTAACTATCCCTCTCCCTTCCTCTCAGAAATCAATAAAAATATATTTAAAAAAAAAGAGTGAAAGAGTGTAGACTATCATGCACCAAAAACCTCCATTAAGAGGTTTTACTGGAAGCATGTAGTTTGTTATCTCATTTATGTAGAATTGTACACACACACACACACATGCACACATAATGGTGGGAAAGGAAGGATAGAGCTAAAACTATACATAATGACTTATAGAAATTTGCAAGGTTGCCAAAACCGGTTTGGCTCAGTGGATAGAGTGTCGGTCTGCGGACTGGAAGGTCCCAGGTTCGATTCCGGTCAAGGGCATGTACCTTGGTTGCGGGCACATCCCCAGTAGGGGGTGTGCAGGAGGCCGCTGATCGGTAATTCTCTCTCATCGATGTTTCTAACTCTCTATCCCTCTCTCTTCCTCTCTGTAAAAAATCAATAAAATTATTTGGAAAAAAAAAAGAAATTTGCAAGGTTATATTACTCTGCAAAAAGAAGTTGAAGGTGATATGTAAATTGACTCTATTTGCATAGAACCAACAATCTTCAACATTCTTATGTGTTTGGAGAAAGCTGCATATGGCAGTCAATTAACAATATTAGTCTCAGGGATATGGTACTGGAAAGAGCTGGAGTCAATAGGGTGAGGAGAAAGATGTGTGTGTGTATTCAGATAGTCCCAAACATATGATTTTTAAAACTATATAATGGTGTGAAAGCAACTTACATCCAATAGAAACCATACTGCAAATTTTGAATTTTGACCTTTTCCTGAGCTAATAATATATGTTAAGATACTCTCTCTTGATGAGGGGTAGTGATAGTGAACCACAGCTCCTGGTCAGTCACACAATCTCAAGGGTAAACAACTGATACTCTACAGTGTACTGTGTTGCTAGCATTTTTAGATACTGTGTTTTGTATTTTCCCATCCTATCATGTCTACAAAATACCCATCTGTGTCTTCAAGTCTAGCGAGAAGGGGAAGGCAATTACTCTTGAGATGAAACAAAAGTTGATTGTCCAACTATAGGCTAATGTAGGTATTCTAAGCACATCTATGGTAGGTTAAGCTAAGCTATGATGTTTAGATTAGGTGTATTAAATGCATTTTTGATTTACATTAAATTTTTTTTTAAAATATATGTTTTATTGAGTTTTTACAGAGAGGAAGGGAGAGGGAGAGAAAACTGGAAACATCGATGAGAGAGAAACATTGATCAGCTGTCTCCTACACACCCCCTACTGGGGATGTGCCCACAACCAAGGTACATGCCCTTGACCGGAATCGAACCCGGAAACTTTCAGTCTGCAGGCCAACGCTCTATCCGCTGAGCCAAACTGGTTTTGGCTGATTTACATTTTCAACTTATAAGTTTATTGGGATGTAACACCATTGTAATATCACCATTTTAAAATTACATCATTTTAAAATTGGTATTATTATTTGTAATTTGAAAAAGAAAAAATGCTTAACAAAAAATCAGGGCAGTAATTATTTTCCTTGAAATAATAATTTTAAAAAAGAGCTCAGAGAAGAACTAAGAGCTACAAACATCCAAGGAATAGTAATGGTAACAGACATAATTTAAAAATTAGTTGGTCAGAGAAAGACCCTAGAAACAGCTAAGAGATTCTCTTAGAGATTCCTTAAAATAAAGCAGAATAGAAACAAAATGCAAAGAGTTAAAAAGGGAGAAAAAAACAATAGACGTAGCAGACAAAGGAGAACCAACATGTGAATAATTGGCATCCATGACACACTAAGCCAAAGGCTTTTATGAAGGTTGACACCAGAACATAGGAACAGAGGGAAAAGACACATAAATATGTTTCCCTAAAATTAAGTCTATATACCAAAAGGGTGCATTGAGTTCCAAGAAAAATTTGATACTAATGATCAATAACTAGAAATATCCTGGTATATTATGCTTCTGACAAAGAGTTTTTTGGGGTATTTAGCTTGCTCTTTCATCATCAACACCAACACAAAAGAAAATCAACTATTTACACATAGACTTTAAAAAATTATTGTTGTACATTAACAAAAAGGAAAATATAAATAACTTAAGGTATTTCAAAACCTTTTTCACACTTTTTTTTTTTTTTTTTTTTTTTTTTTTTGGTGAGTTCGGATATTAGTGTTTGTGTTTCTCACAAAAAATGTCTTTGTGGTATGAAGAGCATTCGTGATGGCCCGGCTGGTGTGGCTCAGTGATTGAGAGTTGACTCAGGAACCAAAGATCACATTTCGATTCCCAGCCAGGACACATGCCAGAGTTCATCCCTGTCCTTCTTTCCAATTAAAGCTGATTTAATGATGGATGTATCAATCTGTGGAGAATAACTGCCCCCCCCCCCTCCAATGTAGAAAATTCAGCACCCTTACTTAGAGTTCTGTTGCAGAAGTAACTGGACTCAGAATGCATTAGGGATCCAACTGCAGTTCAATGATGATGGATTCAACAATTGACAGCAATTCTTCAGAGAATACAGGCTGTGGTTTCCTCCTGGGATGACCTTGCTGGGACTGTTGACAACAGTGCTAGTGGAAAGTGGAATGAAATAGTTAGTTGAGCCTTAGAAAACAGAAACAGTAGATGAGCAGAAGATGACACATCAGAAAAAAGCATAGGGGAGGAAGCTGATTTCCTCTCACATTCTGGTTAGGGTAGGTTAAGGACGGAGGTCCCATAGAATTAGTTTTAACTCTCAAATCCTATTTGGCCTCAAGGACTTCCCCTAATTCCTCCAGAATAAACAAAGGGAGAATGAAATCAATCCTTCTAGAACACTTATATATTAAAAAGGGCAGATGAGTGGGGATATTGATTTTGTAAATAGAAACTGTATTGGATGGAGGTGGCTGGCATGGGCCACTGGTGGGCCCTCATGCACTGTAGCTCATCACTATGTTGTCAGGTTAACCTGTGTTGCCTGATCTCCTTCAAAGGGAGGCAGTACTAAGTAACAAAACTAAGGAACTAGTTAAAGGTGTGGGTTTTGTGGCAAAAGTACCTAATTTTTCTTAGGTCTTTCTGTCTTGATTGTGCATGAACTAGTTTTTCTTAGGCAGGTGACATAGCCTCTCCAACCCCCAATTTTATCCGATGCTTACCCAAGCAAGAGTGCCTAACGTAAGCAGAGGTTTTGAAGTTCAGGAGAACTAATTCAGATACATATAGCTGGAGGTGTATAAAATGCTTGAGCAGCACTCTTTAATATGATTCCTAGCTTTAGCTGAGAAAAGTCAAAATGAAAGGTGGTTAGAATCGTCACACACATCCTTATATTTAAATAAAGTAAGATTTATGAAGATACAAAGATAAGTGAATAAGGTCTAGAGAAATAATAATTAAGAATACAATACCTGCTTATTACACTCTGGCAACAAGATACCACATCAGTAGTGTTTCTGGGTAAACTGGAGTTGAAGACATTCTCTAAAATGTGGTAACAGTTGATGTCTACAGGAGTGCCAGAGAGAATGCCTGGAAGTGGAACAGATGCCATTCAGTGTGTTCATTAACAAATCCCTGGAACTCTCCTTGGTTCCTTAGCTTCTCCACCGTGCCCCACACATTTCACTTTACAACACGCTTACAGGCAGCTCTGCCTCTCAACCTTCTGCAGCAGCATATGCAGCTTAGAAGCACTGCCATCCTGAAAGCTGCCATCCTAAGGGCACAGGGAGACAGGACACAGAGGACAGGAGGCTGTACCTGCGACACAGGCTGTCATGAAACAAGCGATGGTCCCTGAAATCAAAGCTCTCATTGCCACTGAGGTGATGTCACGCTTTCTGGAAGGAGCCATGGATGCTGGGAAACATAGAAGCAAGAATTAGAGATTAATGTCGAGACTACTGAGTAGAATTCCAAATTCCCAGCCTTTGAGAATTGTTCTGGGGTGGGGTCTCATGTCAGCTAACTTAAAAAACAAAACAAAACAAAAAAAATACTAAGCTGGGAAATTCAAGATTCAAGAACTTAGTGATGAGCTCCACAACCAGAGAAGTTCTCTGGTGTGTGAGGAAGGAACTACGTTTATCCACACAAAGACACAAGTCCTCAGTTTCATCCAGAAGGCTCCCGGTATGTGGGGGGCATGGCAAGGCAATTGCATTGCAAGGATGCATTGCAAATATTTGCAATCCATTCATCATCATCTACTTTTATGCCCATGAGAGAACTCACAATTTAATCACAGCATTTTTCCACTGAACTTCCACTGAACCCTGCATCGTTCTACAGGTGGCCATTATGAATCTCTGGGAGCTGGCACCAAGTGAAACCTATGTGTCATCCTCAGGTGGAAAAGACCCTGTCCACTGGAGCAAATTCTTGCTCAAGTTCGCTTGGGTATAACAGGAAAACTACACTGCAGAGCAGGGATAAAAAATAGACTCCAAAAGATTACTGCTGTGGCAGGGCTTTTTTCTTTTTTCTAACACGAATAATGTCACAGAACAAAACGGAGAGCCGAAGCATGTTTACATCACATCTATTGTTGAATAATATTCTTTCCACTTACTGAGTGCACCAATCACTATTCCTAGGGAACCAATATTGGCAAAACCACAGAGAGCGTAAGTGGCAATGGTCTCCGAACGAATCTGTAAATAAGCATAAACACACAGGTGTCTATAAGGTGTGACCCAGCTTATAAATATGACTTCCTAACCAGGCTTCCTAGAGTGGACTATGGGAAAAGGATTGACAACTAAATGTGCAGTGCATGGTGTCCAACACTTGTTGCTTCCTAGACACTCCCCCCCCCGCCCCCCGCCAACTCCCCTTGAATTTTGAGGGAGGGATAGGGACTATGTGTGTTCAGAGAGTCTCTATAAAATACCTGTCTGCCCTGGCTGGTGTGGCTCAGTTGGTTGAACATAATCCCATGCACTGAAAGGTAGCCAGTTCAATTCCAGGTCAGGGCACATATCCAGGTTGTGGGTTTGATCCCCGGTCAGGGTGTATATGGGAGGCGACCGATCAATGTTTCTCTCTCACGTCAATATTTTCTCTCTCTCAAAATCAATAAAGAGATGTTAGAAAGTTGTTTAAGAAAAAAAAATATTTGAGGTTGGTGGTTGTGGCCTCTACAAATTGCTACTTTCTTCCTACAATGATAGCTTCTAACATCGATGTGAGCAGGCCACTTATTATTATGTGCCAGGCACAGTACTAACTACTAAAGATACAAAATTGATCCCCGAAAATATCCACATTTCATTTATTTGACAAAGGACTTATTCAGAATGTATAAAGAACTATTACAACTCATTAGTAAGAAGACAAGCTCCCAATTAAAAAAAAAAACCAGATAGAGATTTCACAAAAGACCTATGAATGGCCAATAAGCACATGAAAAGATGTTCATCCTTACTCACCAGGAAATGCAAATTAAAACAATGAGATACCACTGAGTCCACTAAAATGGCTAAAAAGATGGACAATAGCAAATGTTGGTGAAGATGTGGAGCAATTGGAAGCATCAATCAGTTGTCCACTGCATGCACCCCAACTGCAGGATTGAGCCTGCAACTCAGGCCTGTGCTCTGACTGCAATTGAACCAGCGATCTTTTGGTGCATGGGACAATGCTCAACCAACTGAAGGACACTGGTCAGGGCACTAACTGGAATTTTTCTTCTTCTTCTTCTTCTTTTTTTTTTTTTTTTTTTTTAAGAAAATATATTTTATTGTTGTTTTTTTTTACAGAGAGGAAGGGAGAGGGATAGAGAGTTAGAAACATCGATCAGCTGCCTCCTGTACACCCCCTACTGGAACATGCCCTTGACTGGAATTGAACCTGGCAACCTTCAGTTCGCAGGCCTATACTCTATCCACTGAGCCAAATCGGTCAGGGCAACTGGAATTTTTAAAAGCTCACATTTAAGACTCAAGTGGTCATGGCAATTTTTGTTAATTATAAGGCCCCTCTTCGTGTTCATGGTTTCTGAGAACTCCTTTGTTGGTTTTCAATCAGTGTGCTTATAGCAGGCAGGAAAAAATATTTCAAGTATTCGAGCAGTCCAATGTTTCTGGACAAGTTCATTCTCATTCCCTGCTTTCTCTAGTGCTTTTCATTTAGTTCAGTCCTCTTAAAAAACAGGCAAGCCTATTAAGAGACCATAGGGAGGGAATTGGCATAAAGGACCGAGATTCCTCTTTCCCCTTTCTGGGGAGTGATGGGAAGGGGGTACACAGATGTGGCCATGGAGGATTTTATAATAAGAGGAAAAAGAGGCTGGGATGATTGCATTTTGCCTTTTCTTATAAATGTGCAAGATTACATGATGAAATGGGCTGCATGTACTAGGAAAGCAATAATAGATCCTATGGCTCTCCTTGCAAACATGCCATATGTACAAGGACATACATTGCAGCATTACCTCTAACAGCAAAAAATTGTTAATATTGTTCATCAGCAAGGGACTGGTTAAAATAAATTGCAGTGTGCTTGTATAATAAAATACCATGTCACATACAACAATATGGAAAGGCATCTGAAATATGTCATTAGATGGGATGAGCAAGGTTAAGAACAGAGAGCCTGCCAAAACTGGTTTGGCTCAGTAGATAGAGTGTCGGCCTGTGGACTGAAAGGTCCCAGGTTCGATTCCTGTCATGGGCATGTACTTTGGTTGTGGGCACATCCCCCAGTCGGGGGTGTGCAGGAGGCAGCTGATTGATGTTTTTAACTCTCTCTCTCTTCCTCTCTGTTAAAAAAAAAAAAAAAAAAAAAAAAAAAGAACAGAGAGCCTAATATGTTACAGGGAGAGGGGCTGGGGGCAGAGAAATAGGGAGCATGACTTACTTTTCCCTCTACATCATTTTGTACCCTTTGAACTTTATACCATAGTTTGTATTACATGTAACCAAACATGCAAGATATTATGGCTAAGAAAGCGAACATGACTGAGAAATAAAGAGCTCATTCTGTGTATGTGGGTGCTGCATACATGTTCTAATCTCTTAAAACGGAGATCAGCAGTGATCATAATTCAGTGGGTGACATTGGGTTTTTGCCTCTTGCACTCAGATCTCACACTCCAGTTTCAGTTACACAGTACCTTTCCTGTTGGCCCCCTCCCCCTTCCCCGACACACACTTCTTGGTCAGTAAGCAAGAACTTGCAGGGACCCATCCCCATTTTGTTTATTGGAAATAAGATCTGGAAAATTAAAAAATCGCTTTTCTCCATTACGACTCAACATTAGTAGAGACATTGACCTCAAATGTCCCTTGTGCACCTGCCTCTGATTGGACTCACCCTTAACCCAAATCAGCTCAACTGTTCTTTCCTCCATCCCTTCATAACCTGTTGGCAAACCTGCCCAGCATTGCCAGAACTGTGAGCTTGCTGTGCTCATGAACAAAACCACTTTCTCCTGGCAGCTGCCAGCTGGGGATGAAAAACATTTCTCTTCATCTAGCCTATTGTTTACTTTGGCAGGGGAGCAACCTGGTTAGTGGTGGCATCTAACCAATGAGGCCACTAGGCCAAGCACCACTGTGCTGCCAGTTGAAGAATGAATATTTGAGAAACAGGAGATTTACAGGCCCATATACCAAATATGTGGGTCAAAATGCTCCAAACCTAAAATAGCAAAGTACTCTCCTGTGGTATACTGTTACATGTGTGTAATATGTGGGAGTAAATTTACATGTTTGGTCTTTGGGGGGCTGGGAGAGATGGTGGTGTTATTCAGGTGGGTTGTCTGTCTCCATTAGAACCTTGGGCAGCATGCTTTCCCCCCATTTCCTTTAAAAGCCTAGGACCGTGGTGGGCAAATTGTGGCTAGTGAGCCACATGCTGCTCTTCGGCCCCTTGAGTGTGGCTCTTCCACAAAATACCACGGCCTGGGCGAGTCTATTTTGAAGAAGTGGTTAGAAGTTTACGTTTAAAACATTTAGCTCTCAAAAAAAATTTCAATCATTGTACTGTTGATATTTGGCTCTGTTGACTAATGAGTTTGCCTACCATTGGCCTAGGACATTAATGCCAAAAGGATTGTGTCAATAAGTAATAGTCAGAAATGTTCACCATTTCCTTAAGAGCTTCCTTGTGTGACAATTCTGTCCTTCTAGGAAGTAAAAGTTGGAGAATCAACTGCAAAAAGGGCCTGAATAATGGCCTCTCCTGAGTTCTATTATACCATCTAGCAGAAATGAGCATCTCCTTGCAGCATATTGACCTTGAATTCTGATATAGTTATGGGATGCTTGTCTCAGAGTTTCCAACCACAGGCTCTGACCTCCTCTTCTCTCATCCACTTGGATGTCCAGGCACTATGTTGTGGTTTCTCAGTGTTCATAGAATCGCTTAAGCTAGAAGGAAGGGACTTTGAAGATCATTAGACCATGAGCCCCATTAGGGCTTAGGCCTCATCATTTGTTCAGTGCTTTGGCCTCAATAGCTAAGTATGCTGTACATAGAAGGTATTCAATAAGTATCTGTTGATTGATTAATTTCCATCCTAGCTCCATAGTGCTCAAAAGTAATAAGGATCAGTTGTGTTTCTCTGTACACATGCACATGTGTGCTTGCACACATACACCGATTAAATCAGCATAACTAGCCGAGGCCGGTTTGGCTCAGTGGTAGAGCGTCGGTCTGCGGACTGAAAGGTCCCAGGTTCGATTCTGGTCAAGGGCATGTACATTGGTTGCAGGCACATCCCCGGTAGGGAGTGTGCAAGAGGCAGCTGGTTGATGTTTCTCTCTCATCGGCGTTTCTAGCTCTCTATTTCTCTCCCTTCCTCTCTGTAAAAAATCAATAAAATATATTTTAAAAGAATAAATCAGCATAACAAAAAATTATGAGGTGCTAAGTACACACAGAGCTCCAAGAGACTAGAGATTTTGATATGTTTTGTTTTCTTGATGCCTCTCAAGTGCCTGCCATGCTAACACACAGAGGCACCATATCTGATGAATGTATGTATTAATGAAATGGTGCACTGAACATCAAAATATTTACTCACCGACATATATTGCTGCACACCATTCACAAATTTGGGTCCATCCTTTTTCCTTAAATTGATCAATTTTGAGAGCTGTTCATAAGCCACAAATTCATTAAAGAATGTCTTATAACCTAAGAGTTTGGCAACCATAAAGCTGTCCTGCCAGTCCACTCCCATCATGAAGGAGAAGGGCATGAAGATGTAGGAGCATATTATCTATAGAAACAAAAAACAGATACTTTATTAATGTGGCGATTAGCTTCTGACTCACCCTCTGGACAAGATTGTTCCTGTCCCTTCTGTGCTTCCTTGAAGCATAAAAATCCCTTCACACACCCTTGCCCATCTTTATCTATTAGGAATCAAAGTTAGAATTGGTCATTTGAAGTAATCTGGATTCTTGGGATGAGGTCAGGAGAGAATGACTGAATGTTGGGGGGAGGAGGATGTTAAGAGAGGAAAGTGAGGATGAGAAGATGGGGGTTACCCGGTAAGTGCATACATTAGGTAAGAGTGTGCTATAGGCCGTTAGAGAAAGTTGTTCAGAAACTTTTTCTTGTTTTTAAGAAAGATAGGCAGAAATAAAATGGAGGAGAAACATGGTAGAATTATACCTCAAAACTTAGTTGTGGGTAGTCAAGCATGTTTCCGAACCAGGACAGCGCTGCGTTCATAAAAGACAACAGGGCTATGAAGGCAATCAGATTCACAGCAATGTTTGCCACCAGGGAGATGGATGATGAGGCTCCCTGTGATGCAGCTTCTAGGAGATTCCTTGAATCACTATAAAAAAATAGTGATCCCAGAATTACCAACGAGTTTTCCATGGATGGATACCACATGCAAAGGAATGGCCTAATCAAAGCTCATTTGGATGGAGAGACCAGCTCTCAGGCCCATGTCTGAGTCAAAACACTCACCTGAATTCTATGAAATCATGGTGGCAGAGTATAGGTGGTGGGTATGTGTGATATTACCCTTTTCATTATAATATAAAAATTAGGAAAATATAAAACTTTAGGTCTTACAAATTACATCTAGCCTTAAACCATTTGGCTCAGTGGATAGAGCATTGGTCTGTGGACTGAAAGATCCCAGGTTCAATTCTGGTCAAGGGCATATACTTTGGTTGTGGGCACATCCCCAGTAAGAGGTGTGCAGGAAGCAGCTGATTGATGTTTCTCTCTCATTGATGTTTCTAACTCTCTATCTCTCTCCCTTCCTCTCTGTAAAAAAATCAATAGAAATATTTTTTGTAAACTTTCTAAAAATTATATGTAATTAAAAATAGTTATCAGAGAATATTTAGAAAATATTCATTATATAAGAATTATCAGTTCAAGGAAGGTCTGAATATCCCTAACCTCACTTAAGAAATGGAACATGACTATCATCTTTGAGTTCCACCTTCCTGCCCCCCTCCCCACAGTGCTCTTTCTTAGTCTCGTCCTCTTCTCTCTAATCTCAGAAGTATCTTTCTCCCTTAAAATAAGCTTATCATTGCCTTTCTTTTCAATTTCCCTACTTGTCTGTTTCCTTTAATAATATGCTGTATAGTTTTACACATTTGCTAACTTTATAAGTGGAACCACACATATTTCATATATACATTCAACAACTTGCTTTTCACTCATGGTTAGGACTTTCCCTATAACAAACAAAGAATGAATTTCAAAAACATGTTGGTTAATTCTGTGATTTCATGAAACACTCTTAAACATACTAAATCCCTTAGTTTCTTCCACCTATTTTTTCTTTTCCACAGAGCCAAAGAAAATGATCCAATGAGGGGTTAAGGGTTATTATATCACACTGTCTCTGCCCTATCACTTAGGCTTTTCTATATATATATATATAGAAAAGCCTAAGTGACTGAAAGACTGAACAGCTAGTCGACTGGTTGCTGTGACACGCATTGACCACCAAGAGGCAGGTGCTCAATGCAGGAACTTCCCCTTGGTGGTCAGTGAGCTCTCATAACCAACCTCTTTGGCCGGCGAACCTCCCATGGTCCCTCCCCACTGGCCTGCCAACCTCCTGTGGTCCCTCCCCTGGCCTGCTGGCCTTGATGGGCCCTGTTTGCCAGCCAGGCCTAGGGACCACACCCATGCAACGAATTTGTGCACTGGGCCTCTAGTTATATAATAAACTTCTAGAAATGATTATCCTATGGCTTTCCAATGGTCTTAAGTTCAATGAACACCATACTATATTTAAAGTGAAATATGTACATTTTAACATGACATTCAGATATTTAGAAAGGTTTTCCTCCCTTGTGAAAACAAGATTTTTTGGGTGAAGTCTAACTAGTCACTGAGAAATTAAATTCGATTTACTGCCATAATTCACTGTGCTCTCTGATGATCACCTTGAATTTGGACCTCCCACCCCTCTGGCTGTGTAGTGATGAACTAGGTGCATGTGTTCCACTTACCCACTTTCCATTTTCATGGCATTCTTGAGGGTTATTTTAGGTGTTTCTGTCTCAGGCCAAAAGAGTTTAGCAACAGCCAGTGATGCAGGTGCTGACATAACTGAAGCCGTCAGCAAGTGGGTGGATGAAACCTGTGATTTCAGGAGAAAAAAGGCTAACTTAGGTATATCTTTTCTGTGGTGTTCAGAATAAATGACCCAAAAGTCTTCCAAGGGAGAAGATGGACAGGAATTGATTCTATGCCAGAAAACAATGTTTCTTTGGAGGCTTGGAAAGCTCACTTAGCCAAGTCGGCATCATCTTGAGATTCAGAGGGAGAAGAGAGGAATTTATGTGAATTAATCACATCCTTGGGGAGAAGTACAAATGACTCAGATCATTTCAGAAGATAATTTATCTTGCACTATAGGAACTTTCAAAGAAGCTCCTCCACCTCTCTGTTGTCCTTTTGAATGTTCAAATGTCCCTAAAGCCCATACTTCATTATGTCATCAATTTAGATAGGGGTTACCTGGGGGTACAGGCATGGATGTACCCCTCTCCATCTTTCTTCTGCTATCCTTTTGAGTCTTTACATAATATTCCTTTAGCCAGAATCCCTTTAATCTGTAAACTATTTGTTTTCCTCACTGCAGGTCTATTTAAACTCTTTCCCCTTTCCTTCCCCTCACCCTTATTTTTTTTTTGCATTCTCATTTATAGTTTCAGAATTCTAGAATCAGCATCTCTCTCCCTACTCCCATCTGGGGATCTTGTTAAACTGCTATTCCTGAGGGAGGTCTCTTTGCTCCTTTTCTTCTTCCTTCTTTTTATTGGCTGGCTTTTCAAGGCCCAGGCGAAGTCCTGGAATGAAACACTGGTTCCCACAGCTGATGTCTTATTCCATTTCTCCAATATGGGATTCCATCTATGTGCAGCTCTGTGCACCAGCTCTCATAACATTCTCCAGCCCCATACCATAGGCCACCAGCTCTCAACTGGGCTGCACATTGGAATCTGGGGAGCTTTAAAAAATTTTTTATTCCTGGGTATCCTCCCAAGAAATCCTGGTTTAATTACTCTGGGTTATGGGTTGGGCATGAGGACTTCTAAAAGCTCCCTGGTGATTTTAATGTATCATTAAACCTCCCTGGTAAGGTTTGAGAACCATTGCTCTAGGCCAGGGGTCAGACAGCATTTTCTGTAAAGGGTGATGAAGTAAATAAGTTTGGCCTTGGGGGCCACAACTATTCAATGCTATAACATGAAAGCTGCTGTACAGAGATGAATGCAAGTAGCATTATTAGGGAAAAAAGGGAATGATTTAGATTTGGCTCATAAGTCCTAGTTTGCTGACCCTGGTCTAGATCGCCTCTACTAATGTCAATAATACTTTAATTTTTAATAAAATTTAAATTTTCAGCAAAAGTAACCTCATAATATGATTTCGTTTTATTATGGGTGGATATAATCCTCATTTAAGTGACAGGGATATAAAAGTGAAGCTCTCAAAAGGTCATTCTATTCAAATGCTAAAGGAACTGTGACCAACTATCCAGCAAAAAGGATATTCTTTTTTGTTTCCTTATCCAGCAGCAATGGGGAAGAAAAGAAAAAGAAATAATAATAATAGCAAAGAAAGACAAGGTTGTATTTCCATAAGTCAATCCCAAAATATTCTTACCCCGAAAGAAATGTATGCACCCAAAACACTTCCGGCAATGGTAGCGAACCCAGCGGTCATAATTGCGTGGAGTTCGGATTTGGTGATGTATGGTAAGTAAGGTCGGACCAGCAGTGGGGACTCTGACTGGAAAGAAAGTGTGACCAGATTAAACATTCCCTTTTAAATTTTGGGCGTTTGTGATAACCTACTGAAATTTCCATTGTCTAAATGCAATATTTCTAAGAGTGGACCTCAGACCAGCTCTATCAGCAGCACATGGGAACTTTGTAGACATGCTGAATCAGAGACTCTGGGGGAGTGGGGCCAACAGCCTGTTTTAATAAGCCTTCCCGGTGGCTCTGATACATGCTGAGTTTGAGGACCCCCACCATAGGTGTCTGGTTCATTTGAACTCTAGGGCAGTGCCCTTACAGTATAGAGTCATGTGTTGTTTGCAAAGTTTGCAAGACCAATTCACCTAAGGCCCCCCACCTAACCTAGGATTGAATTCTGATGGCTGTGTACACTTTTCAAAGGTGGGAACATCGTTGGCCAAATAACTTGCCCCAGTGGCCTGGCCTTGTGAATTGTGATTCCCAAGCTTCTGTAACTTCCCCGTCTTCCAGCTCCTTGAGATAGACCCCAAGTCACTTTGCTAATACCACAGGGAGATAGAAACACAAGTATAAAAAAATATCAGCAATAACAAGGACAGGGGCCCACAGGCCCTTTTCTCATTGAAAATCAGAGACACTGCTCTTCCTCTTGGGAGGAAAGGAATTGGAGAGGATGCAGTTGTAAAGGCTTGAGTCCCATTAAGGAGAGCCGGTGCCTGCAGCGCGGGGCTCTCCATAAATAATAGCTGTACTTTTAGCATATTAAGTGCCAAATTGAGCACCACAGAGGCATGTGTGCAATTTTACAATTTTCCCCTCATTATTTCTAATTGTTCTAAAAGATTGAATGTGTTGAGCTCCAATTTATGGACTAAATTGAAACTCAGTACATGAGCCCTCTTACCCTGCAGGTAGGAGTAATCAACTCAAGATGGTGCCCTAATTCGTCCTGAGAGAGTTTATGACTATAATTGTAATAATTTCAGTTCTACGGAAGGAATATGGGCCCCGCTCTAAAGACTCTGCTCCAGGCTAGCAAGCTGGGCTTACCAAGAAGGCCCAGCCTGCCTGGGGCAGTGGCAAGCCTAGGATGTGGGCCATGTGCTTTCCTGGCTGACTTCATTTTCACTTCAAAACCAGTTTCCTTGGGCAGCCCTGACGGCAAGCATTCATACACGGCTTCTGTGGTATATGATGCCATTCTGCCCGGAGCTACATATCTGAGTGAAGACATGATCTGTACCATTTGTTACGTGTCCACCCCTCAGGAATGCTGCTGTTTTGAGGGATATCTGTCGGCACTTTTTTCCCCCTTTCTTTCTTAAATGGACTTCAAGCAAAAGGACACTTTGCCGGATGGGTCAGAGAGATGAAAATGCTTTTGTTCATAAGCATGTTTCTTTAGGTTCCACAAAGATAGAGTGTTGGCCAGTTCAGAAAAGGGAGCATGAGTTTGAGTATTCATACAGCTGCCTGGTTGTTGGCTGAAAGCCTTTCTTGGTCTCTTTCATTGCCACAGGCATTATACAAGGGATGGCTGTGCATGTTTGCAGCTTCGAGACACACGGTGAGCTCCCATCCAGAGGATGAGCGGCTAGCCTCAGAAGGGTGAGCCAGAGACCTCACCAGTTCAAAAATTCAGAAAAGATGTACTGAGAAGCTATATTTGGTAAATGAGTCAATCTTTCTTCCTGTCCATGAACGCTCAAGAACCGAAATACTGTATTAGTGCTCCCAGACTCTTGGAATGGCTTTCAATCCCCCCTCCCTATCTTGCTCCCACTTTTTTTTTTTCCCTCTTTCTCTGGAATCCTGGACATTGTCAATACTGACTGTTTTCTATTTTGACACCCTTCCCCTTACACTGAAAGAAATAACATAGTTATTTTTATTCCTACTTTCTGGGAAGAAAGTGTCCATTTAAGCAGATGTTTTATTTTTTAACATTACAACTTACCTGTCCGACAAATATATTGCCAGCAGCAACGACAGATTCAATAGGAGATGATCCCATAGTAACTAGCATGATCCATCCAACCTACATGGGAAAAGTCAATGCAGAACTATTTGCATATGCACAAAACTTCAAAGTAGGGATAAGAATCTTCAAGCTGGAGGAAAATGCTGTGACCTTCAATTGTGGGCACCCTGTAATGGTGCTGCATGTGAGTATATCCTATCTAGTCCAGGGTAGGCTGATCAGATCCTCCTGTTTGAGCTATAAGTCTGAGTCATTGTATATACTTTGAACATTATACAAATGAATTTCTGTTGAAATAGTGAAAACAGTCATGACGGCTTTATTGTGTTCCAAGGACTATGTTAAACTCTTTGTCCGAGTAATGCATTTAATCCTCATAATAACTCTTTGAGGGAGGTCCCATAATTATACCCATTTTATTTATTTTTATTTTATTATTTTGTTAATCCTCACCCAAGTATATTTTTTCCTTTATTTTTTTAGAGAGAGCAGAATGGAGAGAGAGAGATGGTGGGGAGAGAGACAGAAGAAATCAATGTCAGAGAGACACACTGGTTGCTTTTCCCATGTGTCCAGACCCCAGAGCTGGGGATCAAATCTGCAACCCAAGTACATACTCTTGACTTGGAATTGAACCTGTGCCACACCATTTTATAGAAGGGGAAACCAAGGCACAGGCAGTTTAGTTGTTTTGTCAAAGATCATCCAAGTACTAAGTAGTGGCATGTAGTTGAGGTTTGGCCTTTCCTACTTAACTCAATGAACATAGCTTATGGTCCAGTTTTTGTTCTGGTCCTTCCAACCAGAGCCTGTGGGGCAACCTCAGGATGAGGACTTCCAATTGCATTCTCTCTTCTTTCTGTTTAGACACAGTAATTCTGAATGTTTAAATTGATAAACAGATAATTATGGGCCCTGGCTCTCTTGTTGAATTCTGAATCTGCTGGTATTCATTCTGGTTTTCTCTCTCTCTCTTTCTCCTTCCCACCTCTTCCCTCCCCTCCCTCTCTCTCTTCCACCCTTTATCAATTTTATTTATTTACAGAAATAAAAGGAGGGCCATGACTGTGCCAAGGCCCTGTATGGACTGCTTTATTCTTGTGTGCATTCAAGCTCTGTTACAAATTTCCTACTTTTTAAAATCAAACATATGAGTGTAGGATTGACAGTTGCTGAGGCAGCAGGAAGGAGATAAACTTTTCAGATCTAAAGCAAACATTGTGTGCTTATAAAATTCCCCCAGGAGCGAAAAGCTGCTTTCCCCTGCCTCCATCTTGCTTTGATTCTCTAGCAGCTCCTAGACCAGGAGCGCCCACTTTTGTGACCTCCTTACATAGACCTACACTGTGTAAGGTGCCGGATGGGGAGCCAGGATGAAGGAACAATGCTCCTTTCCCGGCAGGTGTCTGATCTGTTGGCATCAAGTTTGACTTAAAGAAGTAATGGCTAATAGAAGTCCCTGAGATAGTCTTCCCTCCATGGAAATATGTGGGATTTGGGGCGTTTCAATAAAATAATATGGGTGGTGGTGGTGCATCTTGGTACAAAAAGAAAAGTACTTGGAAAAAAAAACCTGGATCAAAGGCAGGTAAGACTTTGTCCCTGAAATAATCCAGCACCTGTCACCCAATCCCTTCCAGTCCAGGTACCTTTCTAATGATCCACTGCATCAGCCCGAGGTAGTAGAGCATGGACATCACAGTGCTGAAGAAAATCACGATGGGCAGGATCTGGTGGGTGGAGATGAAAGTGATCATGAGTTAACGTTGGCCCTTCTGGTGTTAGTAGATTTCCTTCCTGCCTCCCTCTGAGGCATCATAACAATACTAGGAACTCCTCTTGAACAAAACAACAATTTTATTGGGCAGCTGCCCCATTGACTGTCTCTTATACTAATTGGTTCTGGGTAAGCTTGAGTATATTTCATAGGAAAATTGACTTTTTTTTTTTTTTTTCTTCTCTGTTACAATGAGCTCTTCTTACTTTAGTTTCTCGGAGAAGGGATGAAGTTTGAGAGGAATTTGTAATACCGAAGGTGCTACTGGGAGATAGACTTGTTCTATGTTTAGCAGATATGGGCGCCACCATTCAGGAGTGGTGGAGATTAAGTGTGAGCACCCTTAGATCCTTATTCATAGTGGCTACCCAGCTCAGCTACAGCATGGTAGTGCTTACACACTGTGCCTCCTATAGAATAAGCGCTCATTCATTTGGCTTTGAAGGTAATCATTATTTTACTTATAGATTTTTAAATCACTGAAATGATTAAACTTGGGAAGCTATTAATAGTTAATGTCTATGTCAACAAAATGTTGTCTTTTTTCTGGATCCTATTTTCCTGACGCTCTTTGGGTGCCTTCCATGCAGCCTGTGTGTCTACAGGGAGCCGCTTCTACCCTGCTGAGATCACACAGAGCTGTGCTCTACAACCTTTGCACCCACCCCTACCCCACCGCACCACCTCAAGCCTTCTGCTCTCCAGCTAAATGGCTGGAGAAAAGCCTCCGCCAGAGGCACAGAATGACTGAAGACAATTTGTACAAGATCTAATTTAGAAAAATCTATTAATAATATATATTAAAAGACATTCTGTGCCATTCTTGAGAGCTCACTCATGTCCTTTTATTTGCTTTAATGGGAAGGCAGAGCCTTTCTGAAAGCTCCGGGGAGCTGGAGGGGTTCATCTCTCCAGTGTTCCCACAGGGATTCGGCTTTGTTGGAAAGGATAGATATTGCTGCCCCCGGAGAACAAGATCTGAAGACACTCAGACAGTCTGGACAGCAAATTTCACCTTCCTTGTGGCTTTGTTTTTCCCAGTTCTGAATTAAGTTCATGATATCAGCACACTTCGGTCTCAATTTATAAACAATTGACCTTTCCAAGATGGCTTAGTTATCTCAGCACCAAAGTGTCAAATCAACGGTTTAAAAAATCAGCAGTTGAAAAAAGATTCACTGTTAACAGTTGGCCTAACTGATGCTGAGGTTCTTTGGAGGTAAATTTGGAGTCACTAAGTGAGCAAACAATTTAGAAGTGTAGGAACAAAAACATACCACAAAAAAATAAAGTGGAATGAAAAGCCACCTGCATCTATCTGGATCGTCAACAAAAATTTATAGGGATTCCCCCAAGGAAGGGGAGCTTCCTGGGGCTTGTGGGAGCCTTAGGAGGGAACCCATTAGGCCTGGCCATGGGGCAAGCTGCCCTTTCTTTTGTAGAATAACATCCCTCTTTTGTTTGGGAGAAAGCCCTGCCTCTTGGCATGCATAGGCAAAAGCTGTACTCAAGGAAAGATGGGAGAGATTAGTATGGGGATGATTCCAGAAGACCGGGTTGATGTGGGTAACCAGCTGTTCTGGTTTGCTTGGGACTGAAGGGTTTCCTGAGCACAGAGTTGTCTCCGATCCTGGACCTGGAACCATGAGTGGCCTATTAACTGCCAGGTATCTAATGTGTATATTTCATAGGAAAATTGACAATTTTTTTTCTCTACTACAATGAGCTCTTCTTACTTTAGTTTCTTGGAGAAGGAATGAAGTTTGAGAGGAATTTGTAACACTGAAGGTGCTCCTGGGAGATAGACTTGTTCTGATATTTAGCAGATATGGGGGCTACCATTCAGGAGAGGTGATTAAGTGTGAGCACCCTTAGGTCCTTATTCATAGTGGCTACACAGATCAGGGAGCAGCTTCTACCCTGAAATCTCAGATTCTTTTACCCCCCTATGATTTTCATAAGTATCGGAGGCATTCTACAAGTCCACTCCCCAAATGATTCTTTTAGTATTTCTGACTTCCTCTTGTTCTCCTTAATGCTATGGTTACAAAGTAAAATGTTTGCAGTCCACTGATTTCATAAATCATTGTAAATGAAGAAGGGCAACAATATGCTGTACACCTACAACTTATACCTGGCTTATGGCGGGTTAGGTTCTATCTGAACAGCTACACAGACAGAAGTTATTGAACAGAAAGTGATTATATAGAAAAGGAGCATGGCTTTACCTTGAATGCAAAGAAGTGGTCTGTGTATTTCTCACCAAAGACAAATGAAGCACCGGCATTCGTGTATTCCAAGAACGTCTGAGTTGAAGAAAGGAAAAGAGAAGGTCATTATAACTACTGAAGAGGCTGTTACAATTCACAGGACCTACCAGCACTGCAGAGGCGGGGGCCCAGCACGCTTGTTGGATTTGGTGGATAGACTTGGAAAGTTAATTTCTCAGCTTCTCCCCTTCTCCAGTGGATGGCATGGAAGTGTATTTTGTTGTTGTTATTCCTCCCACCCAAGGATATTTTCCCATTGATTTTTAGGGGAGTTGGAAGATAGAGGGAAAGATAAAGAGAGAGAAACATATCGATTGATTGCCTCTTGCACAAGCCCCAACCAGGGCCTGGCCTGGGGAGGAGCCTGCAACCAAAGTACAAAGCCCTTGACCAGAATTGGACCCAGGACCCTTTGGTATGCAGGCCAATGCTCTAGTCACTGAGCCAAACCAGCTAGGGCTGGAAGTGTATTTTTGAACTCTACATGCATACATATTTTCTGTCATTTCTGATATTCAATCTGGCTCCAGAATGCTCAAGAGTGAGTCAGGTGTGGTAAATTGTTCCAGCAAGTCACAGATGGCACATAGGTGGCACTAGTTATCACTAGATGCAAAGAAAGCCTGTTTCTTCTCTACCTGTAGAACCATTTTAAAAATGTGAACCCCTTTGGACAGAATAAAGGAGGCAATCAAGATAGGGTGTGATGTAGTAGATGATATGGGTAAGGGACACCCATACTATTAATAAACTAGGCAATTGTTAATATTCTACATAAGCCAAATTATTTGTCTTACTCATGCTACAGAATTAAAATTTGGGTCAACAAATGCAGACAAATAAACCTATTTCTGACATGTCTTGAAAATTGTATCCACATGTTAAAAGCATTCTAAAAGCAAGGTGTTCAGTTGAACCCAACTTACCTGAACTTGTTTGCCCAACCAATCAAAGGCTATAAATCCAGGCTCAGTCCTTAGTATTATGAGCCCAAGTAGAAACTGTAACCCAATTCCCCAAAAGACAGGCCTCCAGTAAACCTATGCAGAAAGATGAAGAGAGAGAACTCATTAGAAAGTGAAAACTGAACTCAGCGTCAATGCCCAAAGGATCACTGTTTATTTGGAAGCTTCTCTCATATAGCCTATGACCGACTTTCTATGGGAGGCCAAAGTGGTCCCGAGCAGAGAATCCCATGATCGAATCAGACCTAAACATCTCAGGGTTGCATTCTCTCTTCCTAATCCTGAGTTTAAAGCCTTCAGTCTTGGGAGAGTATGTAATACTGTATTTCCCTGAAAATAAGACATCTTCTGAAAATAAGACCTACTTACAGGTTTCCTTCTGAGTGAAATATAAGGCATCTCCCTGAAAATAAGGCCCCTCCTAGGCTAAACATGAGAGATTTGGTCCACTGATTCTGAAAGAAATGGAGTCACAAGAAATTCACCAGGAAATTCAGGAATTGGATTGTTATGATGATGTTCCAAAAGATGATGACATGATTATCATTGAATAAATGAGTAAATTCTTGATACTGTAGGATTCACAGTTTGTCTGGTTTGTGTTGACAACTACCGTACTACCGTACCGTATACAGGTAATAAATTTCCTTTATTTTCATTAACAATAAATGTGTACCGTATTCTTCTTCATGGAAAAATAAGACATCCCCTAAAAATAAGACCTAGCGCATCTTTGGGAGCAAAAATTAATATAAGACACTGTCTTATTTTTGGGGAAACAGGGTATCATGTCATGCTAAATTAACTAGACACAAAAGCAGGCTTAGAAGGGTCATTAAAGGAGGAAGGACCTGGCCTTCCTACCATGCTGTTCATATTAGACATGTGCCATTATTTCTCTGCCTGGGAAATGGAAAGGCAGAACATGACTTCTCTGGGTGCCCAAGGTTTGTTGATCTGACAATTTGTAAGTGAATTCAGTGAAATTCCACCCTGTTGAGGGGCTCTCATTTCACCGTAAAAGGCCCCAATTAACTCTAATGCAGGCCCAGAGAGTGCAGCGGTAATGGACAATCATCTGCTTTCATTTTTGGTGCAGAGATGAGTGCTTGCAAAGAACCATGGGATTGGAGGCATAGAACACAGTGGAGACGTCCACCAGAACATGGCAAAGGAGTGGGATCATATTAGGTGACTTTTTTATTCCTTTGGTCAATCTTTCAACCAGTAAACCTTCCAGAATTGGCACATATGAGTCATATGCGAAAGTTTCAATATCTCAGAATTCTTGCCCATTGAATGCGGTTAACAGGCAAGGATGAGAATTGAATTCCATAAGAACAAAACTGTTCAAGGACAAGTTATGGGGTATAACAGCCTAAATTGCAGATGGAAATTTGAGAAAATGCAGAATTCAGTGGTAGACTATTAGATTAATTGTTGGTCGAGGAAATCTAGATGAAAACAGGTAAGTTTTCTTTATATGTGTGTTTCACAAGAGGAAGTGGGGTACATGAGTAGCGATTGGACTTGACAGGAGAGAACATCTCTTTGGTTGTGTATCTGAAAAATCTCTGAAAGTGAAAAATGAGAGAGCAACTGCACAATGTAAGTTCGGGGAAAAGGGTGCCCTAGCCACTTAAAATATTATATAATAGTAAGGTGAGATAAATATTGAATAACAGTTCAATTCGCTCACACTCATTAATCTGAACAATTTACACATGAGGGGGAAAAAGGAAAAAAACAAACAAAAAGATCGATTTTGTACTTACTTTGGTTGGGTATTTGGAAAATAGAAATAGCAGGATAATGTACATGATGAGCCCCCCGAAGGACACCAGCTGCTGCTGGCCCAGTTTGGCAGTGTCAAAGATCAGCCAGAAAATAACCGCCAGGATCAGCAAGCTCCAAATCACCCTAAGAGAACCAGCAAAGAGGCATTGGCTTCATTTTCTGTGCTAACTTGAGAATTTCAGTCAGACTAAAACTACTAAACAAAAACAAGAGTAACACACCCTGGCACCAGGAAGTAGTGCTTTTAGACATTGCAACAGATCCTTTTTGGTTGTGGCTATACAGGCAAATAGCCAAAATATTAAGCAACATGTCTCCCTCACTCCACAAGTCTTGGGCTCTTTTCTGGTTCAAGGCTCTATAAGGGGGTCAGAGAGGAGAAAGAATGTTTGGAGCAGGAAGTCTGGTGATTTCTTTGAGAGATCTCCTGGGCGTCCTCACCTCTGTTGTGGGAGATGAATGAGGCGATATCTTTTAAGGGAGAACTTGAAATGTGTTCTCTGCAGTGGAGAGAACTTATCTGAGCCTCAGAGAGATAGGTTTAGACTGGGTTATGAGTCCTTGGGGAAATCTGGCAGGTATGACCAGTCTGATTCATGACTTGGGTGGCAGAGCCAGAAAGGGTGCCGTGTTGGTTTTGCACAATCCTGGTTTATTAGGCCAAGGCTATGTGAAGTTTTCTAGTAGATCCTATGTGGGCCATGCCGTGGAAAACTGGATCCTATCCTGTAGGGCCACTTGGAGGGAGAGGAGGTCCCAGAGACAGAGACTGAGGGGTCACCTGCAGGACACAGGGTCTTATAGAGGAAAAGTTGGCTTTAGGAATTTACAGAATTTTCCTTCCAAGGAGGCCAGAGCAGGCAGCCACCTTCCTAAGTAAAATCACCCCATATATAAGGATATATATATAAGGATATATATTTTCCATATATATATATGGAAAAATTTATGTGCATATATATATGTGTACACACACACACACACACACACACACACATATATATATATATATATATATATATTTTTTTTTTTTTCATATAGTTGCACTTGAAATTACGGCAGTTTATAGGAACATTTGAACACATCTCAAATGAGTCATTGTCTTATCAAAACTTTGATTTCCTATTTATAAAATGAAGGCATTTTAACAAATACCCCCTAGATTGTTTCTAGCTGCAATATCCCATAAATGAGAAGGCAATTTCAGACAACTAACTCCTTCTCAACTGTAATAAGAGAACCAAATGCATTTACCACTTCAGCCAGAACCAATGGCTGTCCAGAAGTCTTCTGCCAGGAGACAGGAACTCATCAATTTGATGTTCATATTTGGCCATAAAGTAATCCCAGATCACAAAGAAGATAACAGCCACAGTGATCACAAAGAGAGGAAGGGCTCTGTGAAAATTCAGCACACAGGCTGCAATCACCATGGCCAGGAAGCCTGTCCAGGAAGCAAAGGCAGACAGTGAACATCACCAACATTGGCTGGAGACCAGCCTCTGGCGCTGACCTGGCTCAGCCAAGGGCAGGTTCAGGGAACGGACCACCGAACACAAGAGTGCTCCTCAGATTCTTGAGATGGCTATTGTCTCCTCTGAGAAGTCCCTATCTCCCCATGAATGCCACGAGACCAGGGTCCTAGGTCTCTTTTCCTTATGTAACCTTCTGAGTTCTTGAATCCTGTTGCTTGGTCATTGGTTCTCCCACTTAGTACTAACCACCTTTTTTTCTGGTATCCATCCAGACTCAGCAGGTGAACTTTTATCAGAGAAAACCTAGGTGTTGAAGCAACTATTGGCAAAAAGACATTGATTCACCTGTTTTGCAGCTCAGATTTGGCCTAAGCTTGAGGAAGAAAATGGCTAAGTGCCACAAAATCTCTAAAGGAAAGTCGTGGAGGTGGTAATTAGGTAGCTATTTGTTTTTGTTTTTGTTTTTTGTAAAGGAGATTCTAGAATAAGAACAACAAGGTTACCCATTAACGGTCAGCAAACACCATTTTGTTTGCAAGGTTAAAATTTAGCCTGCCACTTCTTTTTGCAGGTAGCAAGTACCATTGTATTTACATATTTGTATTTGTATTCTATAAATAAAGTCACCTGGGAACACAGCCTTGCGTGTCTGTTTGCTTTCATACTCTGAAGGCAGAGATGTGTGGTTTTGTAAAATACTACCTGGCCCACCCAGTTCAGAGGAAACTTACAACCTTGCTCTTCCCTGTTGAGGCTGTATGAGCACCAGAAAAACCACATTTTCTTTAAGATATTAGTAACATTTTCATTCCTCTAGCTTACAGTATGTAATACATATAACATACAGATATGTGCTAATCGACTGTTTATGTTATTGGTAAGACCTTGGTTCATTAGGAGGCAATTAGTACAGTTTCTGAGGAGTCAAAAGTTAGATGTAGATTTTTTGATCATGTGGTAGAGGATGAGGAGTATTCATTCCTTGAACCCCTGTTGTGTTCAAGGGTCAACTGTAAAAGATAGAAAAAACGCGCACATGAAAATAAAAGAAAAAGAAAAGAAAAGAAAACAAAACATTTTTTTTTTTTTTTAAGAAGAGTCAACTGTAAACAGTTATGGCTCTGCCTTCAAGCAAGAGGAATGGGCTGTCTACATGGCCCTAGGCAGCACCTAGCATTGTATCCACATAAAGTATCCATTGCTTACTTTTCCTCCTGCAAGTAGAGTCCTACCTTTGATTACCATATTTTCCAGTTACCTGGATTTGGGTTAACCAACTTTCACATCCACATCACATAAACAAAGGCCACAGAGTAGGTGACATAAATTAAGTTAACCAGACAAGGGAGCCTATTTAGATAGGTACTCCACGCTGAGACCTGCAATTCAGGGCCTTCTTCTTTAAAAAAAAAATATACTTTATTGATTTTTTACAGAGAGGAAGGGAGAAGGATAGAGAGCTAGAAACATGATGAGAGAGAAATATCAACCAGCTGCCTCCTGCACTGGGGACGTGCCCACAACCAAGGTACATGCCCTTGACCGGAATTGAACCTAGGACCTTCCAGTCTGCAGGCCGATGCTCTATCCACTGAACCAAATTGGTTCAGGCTCAGGGCCTTCTTGATTTGCTTCTCTGGATGATTCATGAGATCCAGAGCAAAGGAAGGATTTACTCCTTTCCACAGAAATCTCAGCAAAATATTTGGGGGACCCTCCAAGGGAGACACGGATATCCCACCTCCTTTTGTTATTTACCTGCTAATAAGATGCCCCAGATGATATACCGAATGGTGGTTCTATGTTTTCTACAAAAATCACAAACTGTAGCATACTTCCTTGCCAGACACCTGCAACAACACAAAAACAAAATGACAGGCAAGAAGTAAATGCCAAAAAATGAAGTAAACTCGTATGCTACGGCTAGATGAGCCTTTGTAAATAAAGCAAGCGAACAAACAAATTCACAAAGCATATGCCCTACAAAATGGAAATGGAAAACTCATTTTATGGTAGGCTAAACTCAGCCATGATTTGGATCCACCTTTGCTGAATGGATGTGCCAAGCACTGAGAGATCCCAGAGATACAGAAAACATGTTCCTGGAAATAGAGCGGGGAAGATTGATAACTAACCAAAAGCTGGAAATAATACATAGGATGAGACTGTTTCTCACTGGACCCTGAGGGCCTCCAGTAGCTATTTTATTTTATTTTTTATTTTTAAATATATTTTATTGATTTTGTACAGAGAAGAAGGGAGAGAGATAGAGAGTTAGAAACATCGATGAGAGAGAGTCATGAATCAGCTGCCTCTTGCACACCCCCTACTGGGGATATGCGCGCAACCAAGGTACATGCCCTTGACCGGAATCGAACCTGGGACCCTTCAATCCCCAAGCCGACGCTCTATCCATTGAGCCAAACCGATCTCGGCGCCTCCAGTAGCTTTTAAGCTACCGCTATGAAATGTTGATTTAAAAAAACCCAATGAACTCTCATCTCTCTGTTTCCACAAAGTTTGAGTAATGTGGTGGTTCCCTGTTCTCGCTCACCAGTGAGAAGCTGATAGACTTCATTGAGCGCTCAAAATATAAAGCAGGATTCTGTGGATTGGAGAACTTTAACCAGTAGATTGTTTTGAAGCTTCCTCAAACAGTTCTAGAATTGTGTGTTTCCGTTTAGGGCTTTGTTGTGGAGTGGTGGGTAGTGTGTGAGCAACGTGTGCATGTGATCACTTCTTTGGGAAGATCATGACCACCAGGGAGTGAGATTGGAGAGGCCACAGGCGAGGCCCACAATGACTGTCCTCTCCTCCTGGGATGAGAGCAGGTTGGCCCCTCCACACCTGCTCTGAAACCTGGCTTCCCTGCAGGTGCCTCTTTTCTTCAATGCCACATCTAACGGAGCCCTCTCCTCCCACCTGAGGCTGGGCAGAAGGAATTTACTCACACGTATAACCATTGCCACTTCCAGGCCACTGGATAGCATTTCTAAAACAAGCACTTCTTGTCCATGTAGACGATACTTAGGACTTCAAAGGACACAGCTCCCCGCTGGGACATCTCTCCCCTTGGTTGGTGCCTCTAGTTCCCTTCCTTCCAGCAGTAATGCCTACATATCCAAGCCTCGGCCCCCTTCATGTTTCAGAGCACAGCTCAGGTTCTTTGCTTCTACAAGGACTTCTTGGATATGCTCAGGCAGAGGCATTCTTCTGCACTTCGCCCTACTGTCTTCTTTTTTATTGCATTTGTTATGAAGCCTTGATGACTGACTTCCTGGGGAATACTCCTCTGTGAGCCCTATAGCGCCAGCATCTTGGACATTAGGCATTGGCATTGTTACATTACTGGAGAAATGAAATGGGAGTGTATATTGCTTTTCTGGAGCAGTATTTTATAGCTGTGGGTGGGGACCCACTAGTGAATGATAACCATCACTGAAAGAAATAGGATATGTCAGAGTGGATCACCTTTAGTGATGACAGGTCTTATTTCATGAGACTTCTGTCGTTATGTATATGTGTGAATGTGTGCACTGAGAATTAAAAAATACTATTTTAGAAGATGTTGAGGTAATAGAAGTGCAGTAAAGTCTAAGTTTTTACATCTAATTGAGGATAATGCATTATCCTCAGCTGTGGATATAGTGTTAAAAAGTAGCAATGGTAGGGGGCAACATTTCACAGGGAACATCCATCTGCTTTAGGTTGGGTTTTTAATTGTTTAATGGTTTTTTAATTGCATGGAATGTGGGTAGCCCATTAAAGCAATCTGACACTGCACAAAGTAGCTAGAAATAGATGCTCCTGCCATTTGGTTATCTGGGTTGAGCCACTTCTAACCATCCCATGGTTGTTTCTGTCCCATTAACATTAGTGAAACCTGAGTTATCTGACCACCCAGGAGACTTTCTCAGCTCCCAGGGTCAGAGATTCATGAAGTGCAAGGAAGAATGGAACTAGGCCAGGTTTCTCAGGTGGTAAATATTTCTTGATGGGGTATATGTGACAAAATCTTTCAACCCTAATTCTGAACAACTCCAGAGATATCCTCTGATACATCAAAGCAAAGTTCCTCAGATTCTTAGGAATTTAAATGAACTTTAAATCAGAATTTAGAAAATTGACAAATATTCGAGTCTTATGATAGAGTGCCAGATAATCCTGGATTAGGAATCAGAGGCTGAAATTGTAAGTTAGCTTTGTTCCACTCTAGTTGACTAACCTTGAGTAAATCACTTCTCTGAGCTTCATTTTCTGGTCTCTCCCCCTTTGTACCCCCTTACCCCTCCCCCCCAATACAATTTGCCTCTCCTACTCACAGGATGATAAAGACTTAGAATACCTTCAGGATATCTCAAAGTAATAGCAAGTAGATTGGGTTTTGATAAATCAATTGCTTATTGATTAACATTGAAAAGACGAATTAATTGCTTTTGTGTGGATTGGAGCAATTTGTGGGTAATTTACACCTGTAATTAAAAGACCATCCTGGATATTCAGTTTCCAGGACATCAGCAATTTGAATTTGCCACATTGATTATTGTAGAACTCCATTCATTTTTTTTGAAAATGGTAGGAAATAGAATTGGTGATGGTGACCATCTCTAATAATAAATAATAAATGTTAAAAAATTAGGTGAGACCGAAACCAGTTTGGCTCAGTGGATAGAGCATCGGTCTGCGGACTGAAAGGTCCCAGGTTCGATTCCGGTCAAGGGCATGTACATTGGTTGCCAGCACATTCCTGGTGCAGGGTGTGCAGGAGGCAGCTGGTCGATGTCTCTCTCTCATCGATGTTTCTAGCTCTCTATATCTCTCTTCTCCTTCCTCTCTGTAAAAAAAAAAAAAAGATTCTTTCATCACTAATATTTCTATTCCTCTTTCCCTCTCCCTTCCTCTGAAATCAATAAAAATATATTTAAAAAAATAGGTAAGAATAAACAAAGGAGTGCCCTGGCCAGTCTGGCTCAGTTGGTTGGACATTGTCCAATGCACCCAAATATCGCTGGTTTGATTCCCAGTCAGGGCACATGCCCTAGTTTTAGCCTTGATCCCCAGAAGGGGGTATGCAGGAGGCAGCTGATTGATGTTTCTTTCTCACATAGATGGTTTTCTCTCACTCTCTCTCTCTAAAATCAATAAAAACATATTGCTCCCCCACCCTTCTCCCAACCCTCCCCTCCCCCCCCACACACAAAGGAGCAAAACCATTTATTTAGAAGTTATGTGTAGTCATTTCTCTGGTTTAAGCCTGTACCCTTTTGGACGAATTACTTGATCCTCCTCCTCATCTTCTTCGCCTTTTAGAGAATCCTGCTCAATGGTGACCTGCTCTTCACCCTGGAAATCAAACATTGGAACAGAGATGCTATAAAGAGAATCTTGGGCATAATGAAACCTTTCTGGATTGTTCCAGAAAGTCCAAAGGCAGCAAACAATCAATCCAAAGGCAGCAAACACTTCTTCCTTATGGACTATGCACCTATTCCAGAACTTTCTTTGCTTCCCCTTCTCCTGCCCCTCCCTGTCTATAGCCAATGTAAATTCTTTTAAAACAACTTACATCTTTCTTTTCAAACTCATTGTATAAAAGAGCCCTCTTGGCCTCAGGATGGTGCTCATGTTGTCTTGTTCATCTAGCTCTGCTGGTGGTAGTTTGGTCTGCGTGCCCCAGACCCGGTCTTTTTGGGGCTGGCATGTAGCTTAATAGACACTTTCTTTTAGAAAATCTTTTGGCCAAAAAGGTATTTGTTTAACAGTGTTTTATATTTTATTAGAGGCCCAATGCATGAAATTCGTGCACTGGTAAAGTCCTAGGGGCTGCTGGCCGGGTACTTTCTCCCTTCCCCTGGCCAGCCCTGCCCCCTGGTCGAACTTCTGGAGGAAGTCCCAGTCAAGGGGACAATTTGCATGCTACACTTTTATTATATAGAATGGGTTTAGACAAGTGTTTAATAGCATGTATCAACCATCATAAATAGTCGTTTCACTGCCTTAAAAATCCTGTTCCTATTCATCCTCCCTCCCCTCTTCAAAACCACTGATCTTTTCACCATCTCCACAGTTTCCCTTTTCCAGAGTGTCATAGAGTTGGGATCATACACTATGTAGCCATTTCAGATTGGCCTCTTTCATAATATGCATTCAATGTGTCCGTCCCCCCCCCACCCCCCCACATGTCTTTTCATGGCTTGACAAATCATTTGATTTTAGCGCTGAAGAACATTTTATTGTCTGGGTGGACCACAATTCATTGAACCATTCACCTACTGAAGGACATGTTGGTTGTTTCCAAGTTTTGGTGATTATGAAGAAAGCTGCTATAAACATCCATATGCAGGTTTTATGTGGACAGAAGTCTTGTTTTCTCTTTTTTTTGGTTGAATAGTATTTAGTGAAATGACACTTTTTATAATATAGTAAATAAAATAGACAGTAATAATATGTATAGCATGAACCCAATTAGGTAACATGTGCATGTGGGTGTATATTGAGTATTTGCCTTATTACATGATTTTCGTTAAGATGGAAATGCTTTTGTTTAAGCCATGTACTGATTTTTTTTTTCTGAAATTACAGATTATGTTTTTGTCTTCTAACTTTTGCTGCAATAATTTTCCTTTTATTTCCCTAATTCAAACAAGTTATTCTTTTTATCATAAGAAATGGCTCTAGCCCCTAAGAAATGGCTCTAGCCGAAACCGGTTTGGCTCAGTGGATAGAGCGTCGGCCTGTGGACTGAAAGGTCCCGGGTTCGATTCTGGTCAAGGGCATGTACCTTGGTTGCAGGCACATCCCCAGTAGGGGGCATGCAAGAGGCAGCTGATCAATGATTCTCTCTCATCGATGTTTCTAACTCTCTAACCCTCTCTCTTCCTCTCTGTAAAAAATCAATAAAATATATTTAAAAAAAAAAAAGAAATGGCTCCATAGTAGGCAATTACTATAGAGCCAGAGTTATTAAAAAGAACAACAACAACAGCAAAAAGGATGACTGACAGGAAGAATTTGCTCACTTTTAATAGCAGAAGGCTTTCTTCAAATGAGCTCCTACCCAGATCCAATATATAAGAGAAACAAAAGTGGCATTGTGATGGAGCTCCTCGGACTGCTGTGTAACGAAAGTGTCATTGAGGAGCCCTAGGGCTTGATGGACACAGTTTTAGAACCACCTCTTAGAATCTTTCTTGTCTGCCGTCTTTATCTTAAAATTAAAATGCTTTTCTTTGAACCCATGATTTCTGCACAGGATGGAGTTTGAACTCTGTAGTAGTGACATGTACGCTGCCCATCAGAGAACTCTGAGGACAGGTGTGTAAACAAGACCTTTGTTTGGGCACGAATGTCTTCTTCGTGATTTGGTTTTACACACTCTAAGTACCACTTAACTCATTCCTCTGAGTGCCAGCTGAGCACCATGCTTTCTGTCCCCATAGCTCTCAGGTGCCTGTCACACAGTGGTTACCATGGTAATATACTCACTCACCAATCTCGGGCCATACCTGTTTGGAATTTATATGTTCTCTGTTTTGCACAACTCTATTCCTTACGGAGTTGTTTCCTGATGTGTTCTGATTTTCATGAATGCCTTCTTCATTCTGAAAACAAAGTACAGTTTGCAAAATACAATTTCAGAGCAAAACAAATATATGTTCTTTCAGTAAGTGGTGCCTAGAAGATTTTTTTTTTAAATTAAAATTGGGATGAGATTGGTTAAGAGTAGAAAGTGTATATTTCTATGATACATTATCTTCATATTGCATTGTGTGCCCACTACCCAAAGTCAACCATCTCCCATCACCATTTATTTGATACCCTCTACCCTTTCCTACCGCCTCCATCCCCTACACTCTGATAACCACTTCACTGTTGTCTGTCTGAGTATATATGTTTTTGTTTGTTTTCTATCATATCCCACAGGCTTTCAACTTCTAAAGCAAAATATAGTATTTTGTTTTAGATTATTTTATTCATAGACATTGGATTTATGAGATATTAAAATATGTCTTGTTTAGTTTAAAGCAATCTATGTAGAAATGAGAATTAGAAAATGCCTTCTATGAGGCTCTTTTGATTTTACTTTAAGGAACTGAGTATAATTTGCTCTTGGAGGGGTCTCCTGATCCTTTAGTGCTGTTTCCAGATGTGACAAACACCTGGCTTGTTTCTCTTTTACCTTTTTTGAGGGTCCAATCATTCTTTCATCTCATCTTAACTTGCCTTTTTATATGGTACTTCATTCCAAACAAGGCAAAAGAGAGATAAATAGTGCCAACAATAGGTCCCTATGTCTAGCTCTGTTGGCTGAGATCTTATCTTTGAAAAAAGAACAAGTCCCCAACTTTGATTTTAACTTTCGATCTCTGGATGGCCCCAAGGATCTAAAGAATATTGCATTTCCATCTTGTGTTGCATTTTCTATTGATTGAAACCTAAGAGTATATAAACATGAATAAAATCTAACTTCCAGCACATACATGACTTATGCATAAGTCTTGTTGCCAAAATGCTCTTTTGTGTTAGTTGTTTATATTTTACTTTAGCATAATTCCTAGTGCTTAGCAGACAAGAATAATTATTTGTTACGTTAATAAGCCTCAGTGATTTTAATGTTGCACTAACTGGTACAGCAATGTAGTGTCTCTTGGTATTTCCTATCAAATCTGATAGGTGTGTGGGGACAATATGTATAATACAGAAAGATAACAAAATATTGCTAATTGCTGAAGCTGGCTGATGTGTACTTAGGGACTCATTTTACTATTCTTTCATGGATGCTGAAATTTGCTTTAACAAAACATTAAACATAAAATCCAGCAGGAGTTGGTAGAAAAATGGGACACGGGTAACAGAAGGGCCTGGTCCTCAGGGTCCCTAATTACAAGTGTGACCTTGGGCAGGTCATATTTTGTGAGCCTCATTCCACCCATCTATACAACAGTTTCGATTCGGTGTTTTCATGGTTCCTTCCAGAATCCTGACATTTTCCGGTTCCATGAGGAATTTCAGCTTCTCGATGCTGATTATTCCTGCCACCTGGTGGCAGAATCTGAAGCCTCCTTGTGAAACACAAGGGTGGAGCCTGCCTTTTCAGAGTTAAAAGAGAGGAAGCGGTGTTGGAGTGTGTGTGTGGGGTGGTAGTGGTGGTGGTGGTGGTGTATGAGGTGGGGGTGCAGAGTGGTCATGAATGATGACAAAGGTACCTTTGAATGTATTTTGCAACATGTAATGGGGTTGTTTTACTCCCAGTAGAGTGCACACCTTAGCTTTTGTAGCATTTTCAGGAAGAAAAATGCATCCTATTTGAGAATTTCCAACAAAATAATGGGAGTGTTGTGTGGGTGTTGATTGGTGCCTGAAAAATGACCCTTAAAACACATGCTTCTCAGCTTCTTTTCAAACTGGAGTCAGGAGGCTGTAATAGGTGGCTCATAATTACTTCTGAGCCCATTGTTTTCTCCATCTACTTAGCAATTCAGATTACTAGCAGTTTGTAGTCCCCTGGACTCCTACAATCCTGACTGTGTTCTAAGTGCAAACCTGTCACTGCACAGAATGAGTTACAACACGGTGGGTGTATGAGCATTTCTAAACAGTTTGCAGCATGACACTTTTAATTTTTCAAATCAATGTTTGCTGCTGGAATTCTGAGGTTGATGATTCTGAATAGAGCCCCCTCTGAAGGACAGATCCTAGACCAAGGAGAACACGTGCCTGGGGGTTTTCTCTCTCTTTAAAAAAAATTTTTTTTTAAATTGATTTTTAACAGAGAATAAGGGAGAGGGGTAGAGAGAAACATTGATGAGAGAGAAACAGATCAACTGCCCCCTGCACACTCTTTACTGGGAATGTGCCCACAACCAAGGAACATACTCTTGACAGGAATTGAACGTGGGACCCTTGGGTCCGCAGGCCGTCACTCTCCCCACTGAGCCAAACCAGTTAGGGCAGGTTTTTCTCTTTGATGTTGCATTCTCCATGGTGCTCGAGCAACTACAGATCCACAGTGGATATTACAGGGAGTTCAGATGGACAAAGACCTTTTTATTGATTTCTTCTTTTTACTCAGTTTCCAAAGCATATTATAACCTCTAAAATATAGGAAATTATTGAAATCATTCCCTCCCCCTAACCTATTTGTGATACCCTCTTATATAGAATTTTAGCTGAATACATGGTCACCCAGAATAAAGGCTACATTTCCTAGAGTCCCATTTCACTAGATTCTGGCCAAGGAAAAGTGGGAGGTACCCTTTGTCTTCTTGTTCTTGTCTTCTGTCTTGCTGCCTGGTGTGTGGATGGTTCCATCTGGACCAAGAACACAAGGGCCCATCCAAGTGATAGCTGATAGGTGAGGTGGGGGAGAGGGGAGGACTTGGGTCCCTGAGAGCTTTGAGTAGTGCTCCCACCCCAGCTCTGTACTACCCACTTCCTGACTTATATCTGCAGGAAACAAATGTCTCCTTTTGTCTCCTTTGGGTTTTGCTTTTATTTGCACCTAGACTAATATACTAGGTTAAACCCTTTAAAGGTTTTGTTATTTGACCCTAAGAGGCCTGTGATATAGGTTTCCTGGTCTGTATAAAGGTTCTTCTTTTTACAGATCAGGAAACTAAAACAAAAATAAGTAAATCACTTGACTTGGTTTGTACAACCAGAAATAGCTGAGATGAGATCTCAGGCCACATTGTATCTGCAGAGTTTTGCCCTTGGGCCAAGGCCCTTTGGTTTGGAGATCTGTAAATATACCGACAAAGCAAATTCCCTTCTGATTAGGAAACTTGATTTGAACTCTAGACCTAAAAGACAAGAATAGAAATGAGAGAGGTGGTGAAAGATTTCAGAATTGGTCGTGGCCCCTTTTGAACAAATTTGGGCTCTGGAAGTCATTCTTCAAGCCAAAAATTGTCAAGCCCCACCATACAGTCTGATTTTAAGTAGATTCTATCTTTAAATGATGTGAGTGGACACTCTTGCATTTGTGGACATGTCATGTCTCTGTGATTAGCTTGTTATTATTTTTCCTTCCAACATGCCTGCTCCACTCACTCAGTCTCTCCTACCACGGTGGCCCTGAATTCACAAGCTGACTTCCATTTCTCAGTTTTGTGACCAGGGTTTTTCTACTGTGACAGGAGAGCCTCTGTTTCCCCTTCCCTATAGAAAGTGCTACAGCCTGGTGTTGTCTGAACGTATGAATGGCTGAGGGGATATAGCTAGGCTTGAGGATTGGGGCAAGAATGGCAACTGATACCCCAGGGAGACTTTCATCCTGACCTTTGGTGGAACATAGATCATGTAAGTTTATGGAATATGGGAATTCCAGTGGGCAAGTGTAATGTGGACATGGAACCTGAGGAGTTGCTATGAAGATCTTCAACTGGTTTTAGCACTTGATACTTCACAGTGAATTCTATGAGGTGTTTGATAATATAACTTAGCTGAAAGGCATATCACCAGAACAGATTTAGATTGGTGGTTAAAGTTGTATTATGCATGTATGTGTATATGTATGTATATATGTATCTGTGTAGCTATCATTTGCACTTCTCTGTATACCTTTAAAGCAATCTCCCTAGAAACAGTCAATGTGGAACATTCTGAGAGGGAATGATGCCTTAAATATTGCCATGGATGTCAAAGTCTCAATCCTCAGAACCAAAATGGGAATATGATGTCAATTGAACTTGGGACTGTTTAAGTCTATATAGTTCACTCACTCGCCTATTAAACTAAGAAGCCAGATACTTTACTTTGTCCCCTGTTCTCTGCTGAATAGCATGTGCCCAGACACAGAAATGCTCAATACTGGTTTTGAATGAATGGAGAAGATATTCTCAGGGGCTGTTGAGCTGATTATAGTAGCAGCTGAAACAGTGTCTCTACAATTAAGTAGACACCAAATGGTATAAGACTGCTTTCTCTATTTCTCCATAAGGCTACCTTATGTTCTAATATTCTAAGCCTTAAGAATCTAAATAAAAGTGTTAGAAATACATCTCTAATTTCTGTTGTTGTTCCTGATGTAACCTCTCTGTGTTCATTTCTCTGAACATTGAATGAGATTAGACTACAGCTACTGCCTCAAATAATACTTAATTCCAAAATGCCATAGAAAGAGATTGTAGGGAGTGGCTCAACATATGCCTTAAGATGACTGCTGTTTGGAATATTGATTAATTACTATATTAATTTATGCTGCATTGCAATATAAAGCTTGGGTTCCATGGTCATACCTGGGTTCAAATCCAGCCTTAGTATTTTGAGACCCTGTAACCTGTTAGATGGGAATGTAGCACTCATTACTTGTCTGTGGGGCTGTGAGGCTATGTGGCTGTTGCAGAGCCACACATAGTCAGAGGTCATTGACTGGTAGGTTATATAATTTTATGGCTTAGTTTGGTACTTGCTTGCTTGCTCTGTGGCATGTACTAGTATAGTCGCTTTGTTCTCTATTAAGATTTGGCCTGTAAAAGTCAACATCTGTTTTGTAAATCTGATCTCCAAATTGTTTGAGATCATTCCTTCCTCTCCTTATTTGTTTGTTTGTTTGTTTCCCAAATCTACAAATGTCAAATATTTTAAGGCAATTAATTTT